CCCAACCCCCCATCCCCCAGCGCGATTCCGGACAGCGGTGACCGAACGCACGACACTCTGAACGAAATCGTTTGACTCCGCGCATGCGTTCAAGTTCATTAATGGTTTCTGAAGCAGTGAAAAGCAAAGCAGTGAAAACGGCACTGACCTTCCCTCAGCCTTGCATTGTTTAAACCCACCTGTATGTGTTTTGTCCTCCCCCTCCAGACTGAAGAGGTCCCACAGTGATCTTGGTAAACGCTCTAGGTGGTGAGAACAAAACATCAGCTTATCTTTATAATTATGTAAAGGATTTCTTGCTCTTGCTTGAAATTAAAAGGAAGTTTGGACTGTTAATTTCCATCAAGAGAGAATGAAGGGAAGAGAGTTAATTCCTCATCCGAGTCTTATTTCCAACGAAAACCCTCTCAAGTTAGCCTTTTCTCCTCTCTTGTTTCCATGTTGTAACTGCACAACGTTTTTCAAATACAACTTTTATAAAATCAGGTGATGTAGAGAAGCACCCGGCCGGACGCTGACCCTGTAGTCTATGATAAAATTGTCACATCAACAATGTTGTACAAAATCTTGCAGCATTTTACCTCCTTCGACTAAGCAAGCCTTGTTCTTTGCATGTGGACATTTCTCTCGCTCCGAGCTCGGCTTTCACAGCTCAACTTGTAAGGAAGTCTAACCTTCGACTAAAACTATTGCGGGCAATGTTGCAGAGTGACACGAGGCCCTTGAGGTCGCATGGTTCAGAAATACACTGCCTCTCTACAACGCGTTTGAACCATTTATAACAATAAGGAGGAGTTACGGCGACGCCAAGGAAAACGTGCATTAACAAAAATGAATTTACATTTTACCAACGAATCTCGCGATACTCTGAATTAAGTCATTTAGTTTGTTTCTCGTTGGCCAAAACTATCTCGAAACTGAATAAGGAACACAGCGTAAAATTCGAAATATAAATTTTAAAAATCATCCGTCGTTGGTTCACGTTCTCCAGACAACACAGAATTTTGTCAATTCACGTTGTTGTTTAGCAGAGAACGGCAAAACAATGTACCAAGAATTATAATGCACGTGCAAAGCCATTGTTCTGCTCATTAAACCTTTTGTTTAGCGACGTTTCCGTTGCCGTTCTGGCTTTCTTAAACTCCCTTATTTGATGAGCTCGCTGCATCTTTTAGTTTAATATGCTTTGTTAACACTTACCTCCATTTCTTGATGTATTCTAATGGCGCGAGATCAGCTCCTGCATCTAGTAAAGCAGATGAATATTGATCAAGCTCCGCCTGCAAATAACAAACAACAAGGATTAAAATCAAATTCGCACACTCTATTCAACCAATCAGCTGCAAAACCAAAACCAACCGCAACTTGGTCACAAGAATTTTCCCGCGCTGGGCGCCAGCTACCGTGAATTCGCCTCTAGTTCTAATTGGTTCATCGTGTTGCTTTGGTTTGCTCTGATTGGTCAAAAAGTTGTGGATGCACTGATTTTGGTTTTACGATAGTTGTTCGCTTCTTACCGGCGACATGGTTGGTCCAGATATGAAGTAAATTATAAATAATCGCAGCTTGTCTTGAGGAGTACCGGCTGCAAGTAGACAATGACAATTAGCAAAGGTGAAATGAGGTGAAATGAGGGTGACGAAGGACATGGCTTTCCCTTTTGCGATTAGAGCGGTTTTAAATTGGAGAGTCGAAAGCAATTTGCGTTTACGTTGTTTTTGCTTTTCTATGCTTTGTTATTGGTTTAAAAAAACTCGCGCCACTTTCTCAACCAATCAGACGTGGAAGCAAACCTAATCGTGACTTGCTGGCACTCGTTTTCCCGCGCTTTGCTCAGTTACACGTATTTTCTTCGAGTTTTGATTTGCTCAATGGATTGTCTGAGTTTTCTGTGACTGGCGAGAGTGATTACCTTGGCTTTGGCCTTAAGACCCTCAATTAAAAACCGCTCTATTCCACGATTCACACCTTCGATTTATTCTATGTGAGAAAGAAGTTATATGAAACACGAGAGACCGTGTCATACCACATTTCCAAAAGAACTTCGTTTAGAAATGTGGTCAAACACGGTCTTAAGAGTTTGATATATCTTCTCAATCGAATCTAAACTTAGGAGAAAACGGAAAAACAAAATCGTAAAAATCTATGCTAATTAAGATCAGATATCCAAATACCGTCGCAGTCGCATTTTCCTAAACTCGAAGAAATATCAGTGACTTTAATAAGTTTATTGAATGGCGTGAAGGCAAAAATGACAGACTTGTCATTATTAGAACGTTCTAAAAGAGAACGGAGTACAAGACGCAGATAAATAAAATCATAAAGGCCTCCCTAGAACGAAGCGATATCATATAAGCAAACGGCCAGTGCTATTCTGAAACTTACCTTCTGGATCTTGAATAATTTCCAAGATTGATTTGTCCTGAAACATAACAGGAAACAAGGACTGTAAGCACACGTATAATATGACAAATCTTTGCCGACTACATGATTTCAATTTTGCCTCATCAAAATACAATTTTGCGTAGATGAGACATCACTCCAGACACGAATTGATCCCAAACATTTAAAGAACTTGTGAAACTTAATAATTGGTGAAATGTTTAGCTCTTTGTGTGCAATATTCAGGGGGATATTGATTTAAAAAAAACAGCAAAATGTCTGGGTGGAGTTTCTAAACCCACGTAACCCAACAGGTATAACATTTATCATTCTAAAATTGCTTGGGAAAGTAAATCGTGGTACTCTCTTTCAATATGCAGGGTTGATAGTTTTGGAGTTCGATCAGAAACTGAAGTGGTATGAAAAGGAGACAAATATTGTAAACGCTTAATTCTCTGAGCCCATAGTCCTCAGCGGACGTTCTAAGCAACAGTACCTAACGATGACAAGCTGGCATGTTGTCATTCGCTCTGATTGGATAATAAGAATCAGACAGTCTTTGCGTAGTTTTATGAGGGTTTGCCAACACGCCGCTCTTTTACAGAGACTATTTACATGAGAGTATTCGAAGGCTACTCAAGCTCCTTTTTTAAGTGTTTCATTCATTCACTGTTGCCATTGGTCAGAAGTAATTGCTTACCAATGTGGCTTTGCTCATGATCTTCTCTTCAGTCTCAAAGTATACATCGAGCTTTCCTGACTGGAAAATACAATAACATTTCTTACGTTAGATATTTTGCCTGTCTTGTTTGCCTAGGACTGACTGTAGTCCAAAATGGCAGATTTTGTACGGTCAAATGCGCTAGTCTGTTGCTCCCGTTAATTAGAACTTAGAACGCAACTGATAAAACCAAAACCAAAGCAAACACTTTAGCCAATCACAAAGGACATTGATTATCCAGTGAACCAATCAAAGCTCGAGGGAAATACATGCAGCTGACGCAAAGCGCGGGAAAACGAGTGCGAACGAGTCGCGATTGGTTTTGGTTTGACTTCTGATTGGATGAAAAAGTGGCGCGAGTGTTTTTAAGCTAATCGTGTAGCATAGTAAGTGCAAAAGCGTTCACTTTTCGACACTCAAATGAAAACCGCTCTAAACAACGCCAAACAGTTAAAGGAATTAGAAACAATGCCACTGAAACAATCGTGTCATCTCCACCTCAACAAGCTCAGTTCAACTAAACTCAGTTCAATTTAACATCGAACTATGACAACAGAAAAATCTATGAGAATAATTATCAGATAACCAAAACATGGTCATAGTTAAACCTGTTGAGGGTGAACACCTCTTACCTTAATGTGATCCAAAAGTGCTGTGGCAATTGTGGTGTGCATATCGATCAGCCTCTTCTTTTCAAGCAACTCAGGAAGTGAACTACAACAGTAACAAGAATATTACTTCACAATGTCATCTACGCCTTAGATATCTTTTGACAACACATTTTACCATAGCCTGCAGTGCGGCCTGCAGGAGTCCGAAAATGGTCACTGTGTGTAGGCTGTCTATGATGCAGGCTAATTTTACCACTGAAAGGAAAGTTTGTAAAAAACGGAAATAACAATATCAGCATGTAACTCCACTGTTCTCAGTCAATAACTATTTATAAGACTCCACCACTTTGAATATTCAGGCTATAAAGTGTCTCATGTTGAAGAGTAAAAGTAGCACTTACATTAAAGCAAATTCATACATCAGATAGAGATATCAGTACATATACCTGACAGCTGATGTTAGTTTAGCTGTACTATCAGCCATCAGTTCACCC